CCTACTAAAAACTACTGGACCGCGTTTTCAATGGTATAGTTACATAAATATACTCCTCGAGACTCGACATTTGAACAAGGGGTTGCTTAGATCTAGGGTTTTTTGTGACTCAATGGGACCTAACACCATCATTTGCCTTTATGTAAGCAAGTAAACACAACTACTAAAACTAAACAAAAACCATAATTCCAGACCCACACAGGACAGTCCAAATTATTTTTAAAAATAGAAACAAAACAAAAATCATACTTGGTGTGATACAATGTTATATTATAAACAATGCTATATTGTGCTATAATTGTTACTCGATAAATTATCGACTTTTCATTTCATTTTTTAGGGTGCAGTGCTAAAGACTCAAAGCACCCATCCCCCCTAGTTACACCAATGATTTATAGTTTATTTTTTCAACGCCGGCTGCAGTTTGCTGTAGGGTGTTTCACACATGACCAGAAAAGAGTTAATAGAGTACGAAGCACACTATTTATTGAAATGGTATAGGTAGCTAAAGGTATCACTGACAGTTCGACCACCTTCAAACCCGAGCTATTGAACATCATATATTTTGATAATGGCAGATTAAATTGTATTTTTTACAAACTCAAACTTAAATTAGGTACTTTCTAGAATTGTTCGAAATAAGAATTATATAGTTATAATTTTTTCTGTAGTTAAACTGAAAACACAGGTTCTCACTTCAGATTCATTATTATTGCATCGCTCAGCATTCTTAAGAATTATTTCGTCTTTATTTTTTATGCTGACTTCGAGCTATTCGGTTCAGGTCCCAGCCAGGGCCTTGAAGTTGCGGGGGAGGCAAGGTGGGCATTTGCCCCAGTCTGGTTTTAAAAGCAGCCCAAAGGGCCGGTGCCCAGTGGTTTTCGATTAACCATTATTATAATATATTACTCCATGCTCCATTACCACATATATATATCAAAGGTGGGCAAGTTAATGCAAATAATTAACTGTGGTAAATTAAGTTATTTAAATTAAATTGCCTTCAGTTAAGTTAAAAGTTAACAAAAAAAAAATCAACAAGATAAGTTTAAAGTTGAGATAGAAAATAAACTTAATTTAACTTAATTAAAATAATAATTTTTTTCAAGTTACAATATTTTTAAGTTATAAACTGCCCTAGTCTTTTTATTTACAGAAACATTTCTGTAAAGAATTAGATTATTATAATATATAATATTATAATTACAAAAAAATGGTCAAAATCGAAAAAGAGTCAACGAATAGGTATTGTTTAGTTGGTTTCACATGACACGAAAAGAAAATTAACTTAACTTCACGACAATGACAGTTGACTATAAAAAGTTAAGTTACAACAATAAACATTTTAACTGTATAAGTTAATAAGTTAAAAATAAAAATAATTAACTAGTGAAGTTAAGAAGTTAAAAAAAATAACTTTTTAACAAGTTAATACCCACCTTTGATATGTATATAGGTTATAGATATGCTACTTGTTTTTCTAAATTATAATATTGTACAACGATTCCTCGGTCGTAATTAAGCGAAAATTCTTGTGGTCAATAGCCCAAGCCATGGGGAGATAGTATTATTATTAATAATAATAATAAAATGTTATTATTATTTATTTTTTATAAGAAATAAGAGTACGTACTTTTCTTCATTCTTTTTATTAAATCCTTGTGGTAATCGAAATAGTGTCTTCTATCATCTAAAACAAAAAATGTTTTCAACTTTGTCAATATCTACTATAACAAATTCCATTTTTTTTTAGATTATTTGTTATCAATACGCTATTCAAAATGCAGTATAAAATAGAGATTAAAAGGTGGGTACTTTTAAACTTGATCACTGATTTATTGTTTATGAAATAGATATGTAGATTTGTATGATTAAAGACTGGGGTGGGGGGATATATCCCTATATCCCCAACCCCATAAATCATAATTACGCCACTGCTAAGCTGGATCAAAGTTATTTGATTGTTTATGAATTAGAACACAACAAATATGATCAATACACCTCAAAACTATAAAATTGTATCTTTATACTTGAGTTATATTAAAATAATATTATGATCCATAAATAGCTATTTTCTATATTATTTTAAATGTAGAACTATATAAAAAGTATTTACAAAAAAAATTACCTTTTAAATTAATTATGAAATTACTCTCTCCTAAAAGAAGGAAAAAAATAAGTTATGAAGTGTGCTGCTCGGAACTATACTATTTTTTAAATTCTATTCTTTATATTATAAATTCAACTCTACATTTTTTATTCTGGTTAAGTTTGCTAAAGTAAAGTTGTACTCTGTTGGGAGGAAAAGTGGCTGCACAAAAGTAACTAAAGCCCTCCCCCTCAAAAATGTACCTAGTCTAACAAATGTATTTATTTATTTATTATTAAAACGATTTACAACAGTAAGATTTCTGCAGTAGAAGTTAGAAGAAACTAGGTAACCAGATTACAAGAGAAATAAAGGGTGGGTGTTGGCTAGACGCATTAACGGCTAATTGGATTTTTCTGACTATAATTATAGTACATCGTTTAGGAATAGAAAATGGAGTAATTGAACGGGTTGGACGTGGAGGGACACAACATTTTATAAGAAAAAGCCAAAAAGGAACAATGGGACATCAGCAGAACCACCAATACAATTTTGAAGGAATCTTATATTGCTGTTTATTCTTCTGTTGGCCAGAGTTAATAGACCTAGGCTACCTAGCTCATCGACTACTACAGAATAGTCGTGTATGGGGTGGGGAATATTAAGTATATAACTGGAGTAGGATAGAAAACGCCTTTGTACTTGCTCGATCTTAGCAGAGTAAGAAGCTATGAGGGGATCCCAATGGACTGACCGTACCCAAGAATGGGTCAAACTATGAACAGTGAAGACCCTTTATTGAAGAGCTGAGCTTGAAGTCGGATGATATACATTTTATGAATCCTAAGGTCTTATCGATGGTATAGTTATATTGTTTATCGAGTAAGTGTGGCTATAATTAATTAACGGCATCGGGTGAATAACATGGACTGACACTTCTCCACATTTAAATACAAACCAATAGATTCAAACCATTTGACAAAAGTGTTAAGGTCACCTAGCAGTAGAAGACGGTCAAAGTTGTTATTTATTCGACTGTAGATTTTTAAGTCATCCGCAAATGCAAGGATATTACATTTGGGATTATTTCTTTAATGCCGTTAATAAATAGAGCAAAAATTAGGAGTGAAAGATCCAGAAGTGAAGGCCACCTTGGGGAACTTATGGTGGGATAGGTGAGAAGTTAGATTTACAACCATTAATTATTACCAATTGTTGTCTTCCGAATTGGTAGGATTTAAATTTTAAACCAAGACAATAGCGAATCACCAAACCCTGATTTGCGGAGGAATTGAAGTAGGATATTATGGTCAACTCTATCGAAGGCTTAGCGAAGTCCGTGAATAAGACATCAACTTGACATTTATTTTCAAAAGCTTCAAGGATGAAGTTATTGAGAACTAACAAATTCATAACAGCTGATTGACCTGCCCAAAAGCCATATTGTTTATTGATGAATGTATTTTTTTTTACAATGGTGGATGTGTTTTTTTATTTTATTTTTTTATCTGTTCGAGATGGCAATCAAAAAAGAACGTCTACTACATGGAACTATTATAATATATAAGCCCAGAGGTACTAAAAAAATAACTACTTTATCCTAAATTATACCTAAAGGCCATCCACCACCAAACCCAGTCCATACTCCATATCAGTCTAGAATAAACAAATGCGGATATTTTCTTATAAATTAAAATACAATTTTCTTGACCATTATACAATATTCTTATTCTTATATATAAGTTATTAATTTATCATTTTACAATATTGGGAAATCTAATACATCTTCTCGTGTAAAACCTCTTTCGGTTCATTCTCTCTCACACATATTATGGTCTCATAGTTATCTTTCTATTCGTGGTATTTCGTATGACATGTCTAAGGCTTGTGCCATACACATTCTCAATAAAATCATATTTAAATCTTACAGTAAATAAATAAAATTACTTCTCTGGCATATTTTACAATTAACTAAAAACTCAGTTTCTACATTATCTGAGCTATATTAATGATTCATATAAGTGAAACCTATTTAATATCAATTACCTAACCAATTAAAGTAGTATATAATATATTATAATAATTTTCTTACGATTAATATATGATTTGAAGACATTGTTGTATGGATCATCCGCTAATAAATACATAATTGTCGTATTATTATTCTACTATAGCTTATTATATTTTATTTTGTATGTTAGCTTATTATTTGTGAGGAACAATGCTAACATAGTTATGAATGTCAAACTTGATCCTAGGTTATAACTTCTTTATTGAGATACATTAAATATTTTATTTTTATGAAACTAAGGATTTGTGCCATAAATAATAATGTATTATCTAAGTATTATACTTACTATAAAATCCTTTCAATTTTATTGAATCTGTTTTAAAAATTTAGAATTTCACAATTTTAATGTTGACACAAACACAATTAGGTCAGTGTTATTATTATAATGGTTGGTAATGAACAACAGTTTTAACAATACAAAATAAAAATGTATGTATTAGTACTTTTATATTAAATTATTGTTTATTATACAAAAATATCCTATTATTGGTCCTATCAAAAAATCATTAAATGTTGCAATAGTTCACCTGACTATAGAAATTCCAAAATATTGTGAAATAATGATACAATTAAAACAGTATGCACATATAGTACAGTAAGTAGTGTATGTAGCTCTATCAGCAGGGTCAGGATTGATGGTGACTATTGACTTATGAGCGACGAGCGTTGTGAATATATTTCGTGTCTACTGTTCATATATTATGTCTGTATCTAAACGATTTATAGGTTAAATATTTATGAACGATTAAGGCATAAGGCAAAAAAGTTAACTCGGTGAAGATACAATTGGAATAACTGTGTGTTAAATTGTTTATTCCGACTCACGAGGAGAAAGTTGAGATGAAGGCGATGACGCTAGTTGCGCACGAAAGTTTGTCCGAATGCACCCTACTATACCAGTCGGACAGCTGGACAAAAGGGGCCACGGCTGGGTCTCGCACCGAAGCGAAGGACCCCCAAATCATGACCAACCGTGGCAATCGCAGTCAACGCAAACGTAAATCCACACCTCCATACAATACCGTAAAGAAAGTACGCAACCAAACATTCTCACCACCTTCCATATCGCAAACTATCCCAGGCATCGCACCAACGAGCCAACGCGATTCTCCACCTTCGCCTCCTGTTGCCGAAGAAACCTTATCAGAAGATTCATTTTGGTCGTCAACTACAGGCCGATTTACTACTACTACTACTTGGTAGGACGGCTTTCGCCTATTTAACTATTCCAGGCTGTTAGTCTTTGCTAGTCGCAGGATGTTTGATTGATTTGGTGGGGTGGGGTGGGTTGGGTTTTTTTTTTAAAATTATTAGTTGCTTGCCCAGAGTTTTGCTCTAGGGCGTTGTGTGTATCTTGAGTCAGGTGGTGGGGGGGATGATCTGACCTATGCTTCTGAGGTGATTATACTGAGACTTTGAGCATCGGTAAAACACTGCTGCAGCATTCTTTTTTATGGTGTTCTTGACAATGTCAAAACCAGCTGTGTTTAGGAGAACAGAGTTTTGTAGTATGGACGGTTGACCCAGGATGGTTCTGATACCTATAGTTTGGACAGCTTCAATTTTCTTCCAAGAGGATTTGCAGATAAATGGTGCCCATGATGCACCGGTATAGGTTAAAATTGGTTGTATGTACATTTTAAAGAGGTTTAGTCTCGTTCTAGCTGGTATTGGGAATTTTTTGTTAAGCACTGGGTAGAGGGATCGTCGAATTTTGGTTGCTTTTTTGACTAACTTTTCGGCATGATTGGAAAAGTTGAGCTTTTGATCAATTGTAATTCCGAGATATTTCACGTTATTTGACAAAGAGATTTGGATGTTGTTTAATTCGAGATTGATGACAGGCCGATTTCTGGTCACTAAGGAGTATATTTGCATATTTGTATGTATGGCGACTATTGCGGTACACGTAGAACTTGTATCGAACTTGTCAACACCAACGTTTATTGCTGCACTCAAACTATTTGTCGCAAGACTAGTACGTCACACAGACGTATATAGTGACTGTGAGTCTAAGTTTGTGGGGGCTAATGGTTACTTAAAGGAAGTCTAGGAAATTCTTAAGTCTTCTACGACTATTATTCTGAAAATCAAATAACCTGGTATTTCAATCGTCTGGCGGCTCCACACAAAAGAGGCCTCTGGGAGGCAGCGGTCAAGTCAGCGAATGGGTTGTTACGTCGTGCAGTTCAAGATCGAATCCTTACTTACGAATAACTCAATACGACTATGTATAAAATAGAAGCTATCCTAAATCAAGACAATTAGGAGCAATCTCCAATGACTCTAATGACTTTGCACCACTCACAGCCAGACATCTTTTGAATGTGGTTTCAAGACCATCCGACATCACACACACTGCGTCGACGTTTGACTCTGGTTCAACAAGTCCAACTTACTTCTGGCACCGATGGCAAAAGGAATTGCACACGGAGCACAGCAAAACATACCCTGGAGAAGACAATGTTGTCCGCGTAGCTGATATCAAATTATCTAATGGAAAGACGCTCAAGCGTCCAGTGGTGAGGTTATGCCCCTTACCATTGTGATTGAATGTGATACTATTTAAGGAGGGCAATATGTTCTGACGAATAGCGCATAGTCCAACAGTGATAGAGCAAGGTGAAGATAGCCGGTTCAAAGGCCCACCGCATAAGTCAGTAGGAGAACAGTATTGTGGGACAATACCTAGTCACCACAGGCCTTTGCGACCAGTACGTTCGTTCGATTCGTTATTATCTCACGTGTGATCTGTGCCATTTCTCACCACCACCTTCACCGTCACTGTCACTGTCACAATTACCGCCACCACAATACCAACGACGTCGTGGCTACCGGAATACGGTTGTTATTATTATTATTATATAAATGATTAAAATGTTATTATAAATTTAATTATTATTTTGTTATTCGTAAGATTCCAGCGCCAGCCGTCATATTTGTGTCCTAGTTATTCAAATCATTATGTTGTCAATAGTAAGCCGTCACCCAGTGTAAAAAACCAATTATGTGAGTTGTTTTTTTATATTTAATTTACATTCACCATACAGACCACATTACCGCATAAACAATTATATAGACTGCATATTATAGTCTTCACTCTTCACTCAGAATCGTTTTTCGTATGCAATGATTTATCATTGAATTTCAATTTAATACACGTTACAGTAACTATTATGGTGATCAATTACTTGGTACACTTGACAAGTCGTAGATACTGTATGGTAGATCAACTAACTACTTTCCCTCTTTTTTATAATTATTTATCAGAACAATTTCGACAACTACTAATAATTAAATACCTATTTAATATTTATAGTTTTGTACAAAAATCATGTGAGAAAAGTAGGTACCTACTGGCTACTACGTTACAGAGATTATAATGGTAAAAAGGTACTAAATTTAAGATATATTATGAATGCATTTTTGTAATTTATAGGCATTCACTATTGTCTAACGTCTACCGATCGCAACAATATTTTCAACAATTTATTTTATTACTAAGAGCTGATAGCCTACTAAATAACTTTTATATCACTACTAATAAGGTTAAAAAATATTTATTATAACATGGTTTATCTTACTTGTACACTCTAAAACTATTAAAACAATATTAAATATAACTAATACATATTTTAAGTATTGTGTAGTATTGTAATTTAAATCATACTACGGTATCAGTGATCAAATAATCTTTTTTTTTTTTTTTGATACTATGTAATTTTGTAATAACTACAAATTTGTTGATTAAATTTAGAACGTCATGATCAACTGTGGGCCGCGTTGGAAAACCTACTGATTAATTCGTGTAGGCACCAGTCGGAAAAACAAAAATATTATGTATCCAAACCAAAACTGCTCCAATAAACAGAATCAAAACATATCTTTAAATCGTCAAAAACGTTTTAATAAATGAACAAAAAGATACAAAAAAAAAAAGATCCATGAGTTTACTTTAAATTCAATTTCTGGTTATGACTTATGGCGTAGCAACGCACGCAGGGTACAGGCAATAAGAATAATAATGTATATTATGTAAAGATCTAATTTAAAATAAATATAGTAATAGACAACAGACTTTCATTTGTGTTCATTTTATGTATGTACTAAAATCTAGCAATAGCCCCATCTAGTTTATTGCAAATTAGGTATAGTTGTATAATGGGTACTATAGTCTATAATGATCTTACTTGTATTATCTGTGAATATATAAACGTAATTAATTGATTTGTGATTTGAATCATTAACTATTACAGTGCTATTAAAATATAATTACCTAGCTGTAGGTTAATTTACATAGCAAATAAAGTATAGTAACTTATAGGTGTAGCCAGCAGGGGGGACGCCTACCCTGAACAGGATATACCTAATATGTTGACACCTCTATTTTTTCTGGTCCATAACTGTCATACAATTTATAAACGCGCTTACCTATGACCGAAACCTGCAAACTACATAAATTATTTTTTTCGTTCATCGTTGGAAATATTATTACATAGTAATTGATATACTAATACTATATATAGTATCATTATTAAGTTTATGATAGCTATTATTTGTCGACCACTTTGAGCATAGGTACCAGGAAACATAATATTCCTAAACTAGCTTGAAAATAGTGTATCAGATTATTATATGTTATGTTTAAATATATTGGAACTTAGTAAATTGTTTTTTTAATAATGTTTAATTACTGATAAATAATTACATTACCTATTGTATAATAATAATTATGTATAAAAAAAAATGTCTTTTATATATTAAGCGTTTCTTCATGAGTCTGAATTTAACTGAAGTGGGTTTGGGAGGAGGCAAAGCCCTCCAAGACTTACTTTGGTACACAAGCTTCTAGCATACCCGGAAAAAAGACCTGGATAAGCCTATGCAGTATATTGCCTACTTGCAAATTCTAAAAATGTGATTGCAAATTGTTGCAAATTACTTTTGCAAAATATGGTTGCTGCTATGAATTAAATCCTATTATGTAGGTGGGCCAACTTCATACACGTTTAAATGTATAGGTATAAGTATAATAGTATACATAAATACAACTAGTGAACTTACTATACCATCCTGTATATTTATAAACAACAATATTATTATTTAAAATATATTTAATAGTTATTAAAATACTATGATATCAAATATAACTAATCAGTTATTTATAAATATTTATGATACTGAAAGTTGGTTTAATTTTTTTCAGATTGTGTGAGGGTTGATGAAGGTATTTTAATTGTAATTACCTATGTGATTTCTTGTGTCTGAGTAGACTTTTCGCAATAGAGACAATGGATTTATATTCAACTTTGAGGGTGGTTTATGGTAGGAAATTAGATCTAGTTGGTTCATTGGATAGCTTAAAATTAACTGTGATGGGATTTACATTTTTCACTTACGCAACGAAAATGTTTCACGGGTGCGTACAATATTCAACCAAAACGAGTATACGACAAATTATTACCTATCTAGTTGTATACAATATATAAAACAATATATGTATTTAATGTATTTTATATTTTAAGTGTTTCTTTATGAGTTTGAATTTAAATGAAGGATGTGCCACCCCCCATCCAAGACTTGCTTTGATATACAAGCTTCTAGCATTCCCAGAAAAAAGGTCTGCCTAAGCCTATGCAGTTATTTAATTAATAAAAATTCAACATAAATATATTTTTTAAATATTAAAAGTGCCAAGTCTTTGCCAAGAGTGGTCATCACTTGGTGTGATTCACGTAATAGGATCGAATCTATCATTCGTGTATAATGGTTTTTAACAATATGGATTTCGAAAAATGAATAAGAACGACACTATACAAAGACAAAATAGTAAAATGTTTTTTGCTTTGTATAATATAAAGATCTGTCAATTCATTCTCAAGAACCTACCTACTATTTCATTCAAAAATCGTATATTTTAAAATGTATGTTAATCACGTATATTTTTTTACTATATAATATATAACGATATGAATGAATTTTAAATGTATAGTTATAATAGTATAAATAAATACAACTAGTGAACTTACTGTACAATCCTGTACATTTATAAACAACAATATTATTATTATCATGCATGAAGAGGTTAAAATATATTTTAGTTAAAAGTTATTTAAATACTATGATTTTAAATACAGTTATTCAGTTATTTATAAATATTTATAATATTGAAATCTAATTAAATTTTTTTCTGATTGTGTGAGAACTGAATGTTGATGAATGTATATTTTAATTGTAATTGTCTATGTGATTTCTTGTGTCTGAGTACACTTTTCGGAATAGAAACAATGGTTTTATATTCAATTTTGAGGGTGGTTTATGGTATCAAATTGGATCTATTTGGTACATTGGATAGCTCAAAATTAACTGTTAAGAGATTTACATTTTTCACTTCCTCAACGAAAATATATTTCAGGGGTGCGTACAATATTCAAACAAAATGAGTATACGACAAATTATTACCTAGGTACCTAACTGTGTATAATATTATGTAAAAGAATATATGTATTTTCATGTATTTTATATTTTAAGTGTTTCTTTATGAGTCTGAATTTAAATGAAGGAGGTGTCCTCCCCCTCGGGCGAACCTCTCCAAGACTTACTTTGCTACACAGGCTTCTTGTATCTATACCTATAAAAAGGTCTGGCTACGCCTATGCAGTTATTTAATTTATAAAAATTGAACATAAATATATTTTTTTAAACCCTGTCTTTGGTATGAATTGTCAACACATAGTCTAACTCACCTTCGTAATATAGGTACAAATCTATTATTCGTGTATATCGGTTTATGACAATAAATACGGATTTGAAAAATGAATAAGAACGATACTGTATAATATATAAATACAAAATAATAAAAGGTGTCTTGCTTTATTATAGTATAAAGATCTGTCAATTTATTCTCAAGGACCTACCATTTCATTCAAAAATCGTATGTTATGAAACATACGATATATTTTGTTTGTTACCTAATCGTATATAATATTTTTTAGATATTGAGCGTAGCGAGGAAGCTAATGGTTTTACAATAGTGTTTTTTTTTATCCTATATACAAAATTTCTACCAGAAGGAATGCTTAGATATCTTTTAGAAAATTGGACCAAGATGGTACTTTAGTGAGGTCATTTTTCGATTTTATCAATAGTTATTTAATTCCACGGGAAAACCACCGAAAAATTACAAAACACCACTGAAAACGGGATTTTAATTTCCAACACTTTGTTTATCACCATATAAACGAATAAAAATGTTGTAATTTATAATAATAATTCAACTTACAGGCTATAATAGTGTACAATTAGTGGACTTACTATACCATGCTGTACATTTATAAACAATAATATTATTATTAAAAATATATTACTATATTATTTACGCTTAGTAATGACGATATTAATGAACAACTTTGTGTCCTTACTCTGGAATAAAATGCCTATATAAATGCAATCAAATATTTATTAATTATAAATTATTATATTTATTCAAGTTGTGTTTATATAGTGTTAGTATAATATTAATGTTAATAATGTATTAACAATATAATAC